TCAAAGGGCATATATGGATGTTATGTTGAAAAGATTCAACTTAAAAGGATTCTCTATATGTCAATATTATAGCAAGGAACTGGTAAAGTATCACGTTTTTCATTATGAATTGTGTCCCATACGCTTCGGGTATAGGATCGATTGCATATGCTATAATATTCGACCGTTCTAAATTTTCCAAATGCCTAGGGCATTTAGAGGAAAAAAGGACTAGAACCGTATTTGACTAAAATAATTAAACAACTGTCAAGGACAATCTAAGGTTCGCTAAGGATTGGTCGTTTGTAAGCAGTTGGAAGTATAGTAATGAATGGACCATAATGACATTATTATGATTAGATATGATTCTATTAATAATGAGTTGTCATATGGAAAATATGGAAATGTTTCCATATTGAGAGTTGGACGTTAAGAATTTATGTCTAGATTCGAAACCTTTATGCAAGAAGGATGTTCAAAGGAATGTACTTTGAATGTGAGATTTCGTATCTATGGAATTGCCTTGTAGCAATCTCCAATAGAGAACTTTGTAATTTCATTGGCAAGGTCTTGGTGACTTTTATGCAATATGATTACAAAAGGATAATTGCATAAGATGTTAGAATCTAACATATTCTAATAGTGGCAAGAATTTGGTATTCTTACACTAATGATAAGGATTGGGAATTGTGAAATGTGTATCGTTGGAAATGTATTCAGTTGATCTGTTTCACAAAGTAAGGACCATAGGTAAATATAGTGTGCATGCTTGGAGCATGGGACAACTGTTGTTATAATTCAAGTAATAAGTTGATTATCCGAAACATTATACAATGAATAATGTGTAATCAATATGGTGACTAAATAAAAGGAGTTTTATTTATACTCAAAAGTTTGGGGCCATATTGGATTCGATTATTCTTGTGTTTCACTTTGCATGTTTTGACTTCCCGAATAATAAGATTATTCAAACATTCCACAGTCGCTCATACTTTGGGAGTAGGTATGAAAGAAGATTGTTGTGAATTGGCTTGTAGAATGTCTAAAGTGTATTAGACATAGCAAAAGTTTGCTACAACGTTCATGAGTGCTTATGAATTAAGATTTGAGCATTGGATTAAACCCACGCTCACTTGGATCGCTTCATGGATTTTATCACGAGTGATTGGTGAGACGATAATATCTTATAGTCTTGAAACCGAGACGTGTGAGTTGTAATTTACAAGTTGGTTGCACATTGATAATATGTAAACGCACCAGTAACTTGGTGTTATAAAACATACTGTTGTGTGTGATTTGATGAGTAGGTACAGACGAGCATTGAGTCGAAGTTTATCCGTTCCTTTTACCCAATGTGGGATAAAAGCGATATATGTGGGCCCTTCGATGATTTAGTGATGACACCCTAAGTGCTTGGCCAAGCCGGGACTAAGTTGATGTGTTCAATTGTAGTCTGTTGTCAGTCGTCATAAATCGGAAATCGGGAAACAACACATGAACAGAGAGTATGATTAAAATCCATGTCTCAGTTCATATGATATCTAGAATGGAGGAATATATGATCCCTTATCTAAAGGAAAAGTTGATGATAAGATCAGAGTTCGACAGCGTCTTTGAGAATCTACGATTGCTAATCGGATTCTACTTGAACTATAGTTACTAGACTTATCCAAGTGGAAGACTGTTGGATTAGTGTCTAAGCCCGTAACTATTATGGTATGTACTTGACCCGGTTGTGCATGGACCTTTTGGGTTGCCTTCACCAAAGCAACTTGATAGGATGATTTATGAAGAGAAAGGTTATTATGATTTATTAATATATTATATGAATAATATATTAAAAGAGAAATCATATTGTTTAATTAATATTAGTCAAGAATTAATAAGAATTAATTTTGTGGCTAATAGACATTAATTAAATAAAGGGGACTAGAACTGTCAATTGTGTGATAGTTGGATATTGGGCTAATGGACTCCATAGAAGTTGGAGTGGACGAAATCTATGGGGAAACCCATTAGAATTCGTCCAAGGCTTCTAAGGAGGGAGTTCATGTGCTTCTTAGGCCCTAAGCAGTCAGATTAGGGTTTCCTGATTGAAAACCCTAATAGCCTAACTATATAAGGAACCCCTAAGGCCCCAAAAATGTGTGGAAGAAATCCATAAGGGTTCTTAGACGTTTTTGGTGCCTCTCACCCTCTCTCCTCTTCATCATTCTCTTGCTCTTAGTGTTTGTGATCCATTAGAGGTGTGACACTTGTGATACTAAGCGTCTTGAAGATCAAAGAACTCTTGTAACCATTGAAAGGTAAGATCTAAACCCTAATTCATATGTTAATTCGATTATTGTATGCTAGATATAGGGTTTATAAGCTTTGGATGATTATTGAATGTTCATTAGACAAACTAGATCCAAAAGCTTTAGGGTTTTGCATGTACACCATAGGATTGTTGTAGTGGTCAAAACCCATCATGAGGTGCATAGGTCGATGTCAGAAGGAATCTTTTCATGCATGGGTCTTTACATTGTAGAGAATCACATGCCACACATATATAACATCTATAAAAGAGCCTAAATTAATAATCACATGCCACACTTATCAAATATCTAGCAAAACATGAGTAGTGAGAAGATTGCTCGTGAACTTGGTATAGAAGAAATATTCTCAACTCTTTCTCAAGAAGGTTTAGAAGGGTGGTTAGCCAATATGGATTGCGTCCGCTGGATGGAGTTCTTCTACATGGTCCTACTCAGCATATTAAGGATCCGAGTTCCTCTACTTGGTCCTACTCGGCATATCAAGGATCCACATCAAAATAAAGTGGGTATTTATGTCAAAACTATGGAGGCAGGCCTTTGCTTCCCAATCTTCAAGTTTATTGAAGATTTATTATCTCACTATTTCATACACATAAGCCAACTAAAGTGAAATGCGATGTTCAAAATCCTGGCATTTGATCTCCCGTGTAAGGCAAAAAAGGTTGAGCCTTCTGTTCCCTTATTCCGTATTTTCTACAGGTTATCTTCTAGTGAAGATTGGTATACTTTCTACAACCGCGATAAAGAGAGACAAATTGCAGCAAATCCAAAAATATCATCTAGGAAATGGAAACAAGAGTTCTTTTGGGTGAGCCAAAACCTCGTACCCCAAGGGATGGTCTTTGGTGACACATCAAGGATGGTTAATGACCCGACCATAAAAATTATCAACACTCAACTCCGTAAGGACTTTAGCAAAATAGAAGGGTATTGTGTACCAGGAGATGAGATCAACGAACTTGTTCTTGTTGTTGGTGGAAAAAGGGTTGTATGGGATCGACACAACAGACTCATGGTCCCCATGCTATTCGTGAGGATTAATGGTAAGTCACTGTCATTTTTTAACAACTATTACCCAAAATTTGAAGTGTGATTTTCATATTATCTTTTCTTGTTGTGTTTAGAAAAAAAAAGTATATTTGAATATGTTAAGGGATCTTCTGCGTGATTACCCGAAGGAATGCGAACTAGAGGCAGATGTAGTATTCCCAGATTTTACCAGGGTAATGAGGGGGGAGAGCCTGTGAAGAAGACAACAAGAGAAAAATTGGATGTTAATGAAGATGATGTCGATGACCAGAGTGACAATGATGATTGATGCGTGCAATTAGCTACACCTAATTTTATATTTATAACCTAACTAACTTAACTAACTATATTGCACCTAGGCAGTGTACCTAGTCAAAATTATAGAATAGTCGGGCAAGTCGGGTGTCGATCACAGGGAACGGTTTTGACTAGTTAACCTATCTACTATTAAATTAACCTAATTTTCTTAGCAAAGAAATGGGATTTATCTAATTTTGCAAGTTTAGATGAACTTAATTCTCTAACACAAATTCAATCAGTATACAAAACACTTATGTTAGTTCGAATCCGCTTTCCCTCAATGGTTTATAAATTAGTTATGACAATTACTGTTGGTTACCAATTAAGATAATATTAGCAATTTAGTTCTAAATCTACTAACTTTAATTAATTCATGTAAATCTATGTATGGTCACACAATAGCTAACACAGAATCATTTATTGAATGGAATTGGAGCTATGTAAGATTAATTTGACAAACACACTTATGATCATAATATGAGTTCTCTAGCACATCCTAATTTTAATAACTCAATTGCTTATCTAAGATTGGTTTGATCTTAGCTCTAATAACCTAATGTTCACTGAATTACTAGGTATTCAAATTCATGCAGATTCATATTCACTAACTACACAGAACAATAATTTAAAGCAATCAAATATCAAATCAAACATGCTAGGTTCAAACAATCAAACACAAGTCATAACCAACTAGTAAATCAAAACTAAGTTATTGAAACCATGAGTTCCAGCTTCATCTAGCTAACAAAAGCAGCTAGATTTAGCTGGACATATTAGCAATTAAACAAACACAAGTCATATTAAAAAGCATACTAAATATACCAAACTATAAGTCAACTTATGAACTTCCCTTCCCCTTTTGTGTTGATACCCTATTCCAGAACTTCTTCTCTTCTGAAATTCGTCTTTAGGAACCCTCCAAGGCAGCCAAAAGTTTCCCAAGTCGTAATGGACAAGGATATATATATTTTCCGATTTTTCCAAGTTCACGTCGTGAGCCGATAAGCTTCACGTCGTGAGTATGAGATAAACGTGTTCGACAAGGACTCTTTCATCCGGTGCATATCTTCTAGAATACTCCACTCACGTCGTGAGTCGTCAATTACTCACGTCGTGAGTACGTGTTTTGCTGAGTTTTTATTCTTCTTTCCTTCAAGCCTCCAAAGTTCCATGTTTTGTCAACTTTAGTCCCTTTCTTCGAAAATGCTTCTATTTGGCTGGAAAATATAATTTAAGCCTATAAGTACCGTTATTCTATGCAAATAACCAAATTATTAATTAAAATGTAAATAAATATTGCCTAAAAACATGTATAAATATGGCAATATCAATGACGCATGTCAACCTGTTAGCCCTGTAAGACATACCACTTTTATGTCTGGCTTTTCCCAATTTGCTAATACACCATCCAGAAAGAAAAGAAAAGACTATGCTCAATTGGTGTCCACTACTAATGTCACAGACGTGGTTTATCGTCAAGGTTCTGGTGGTAAAATCAGGGTTGCTTTTATGAATGTCATGCAAGGAGTAGCCATGAAGGTTCCCTCCGTTCAAAGTGGTACCAACTTTGGTACAACAAGCTCACCTGGTATTTTGGGTGACGGTTCAGGCTTTAATTTTGGGTCGTGGACACCTCAAACATCCTGCATGGTTGATCCCACTGGTATTTTTCATCTATATTGGAATATTACTTGTGAAACCGATGTGTTGGACTCGACATGCAACTCTGACTTCATATCAAATGTCTTTCCACAAGTAACTTTGTCCCAAATGGATAAGATGAGCACCGACAAAATCAGCAGGAGACGTCATGCCCACATGGTGCAATCCGTGGCCTATAATGTGGGGTTTGATAGACGACACAAAACTGAACTTGAAGAGGCTCGAGGTCTAGCAGTCGTGGCCTACACAGAAGCATCCGAGTATAAGACCAAATATGAGCTTACCAAGAAAAACCAACAAGAGGAACATGATCGTTTTGTTCATCAGGTTTCCAACCTAGAACTCGAAGTAGCCAATCTTAGTGCTAATGATAGTGATTTGGTCGACTCGTCTAATTAAGGAGTGATATGAGTTGGATTCTTCAAGAAGGTATTTCCAAATAATTTGATAAAGCTACGTGTTCCGAAACATTTGTGAGTAACTCCAAAAGACTTTACAAAGCATATAATGATTATGGCATAGAGCAAGGATGCAAATTCATGAAAGAAAAGTATGGATTTCAGATCCCGGAACATGAGATGCCGAGTGGTCATTCCGAAGAATTGTAACATGTTCTGGCAGCCTTTTCCAAAGAAGAATATGTGGCATCATCTGGACTGGACTGATCCAGTTTTGATGCTTTTAAGGCCTCTTTGATTTAATAAGAAGAATAATGATCTATGGGTGATGCCCGTTCTAGTGTGTAGATTGGGTGAGATTTGTGGGCGAGGCCCATTTGGTTATGTAGAATAGCTGAGACCCGTGGGCGAGGCCCGTTTGGTTATGTCAGTAGGGGTGAACCCCGATAGGAATTGGTCTGATTATAGTGTGGATCACGCTTAGAGCATGACGACTCTGTGATTGACGGATGGAATATGTGTTACATTTACGCTCAGGAGCTTGTAGTAGTTGGACTCTTAAGCGGAGTCTTATGATGTGACCATGCGCGAAATGGTAGGATATAGCAGGTAATAAGGGATTCTATATCCCAGATTAATAGAAGGTCCTGTCGGCGACAATATATAGTCGAGGATTCTGTTTTCCAGTGGACTCAACAAGATAACTCAGGATCGGAAAAGTTTCATTCGGTTGAGTTGCGAGGTAGTGTCATATTAACGACATATCAGAATGGTTTCATAGGTCGGGAAGACATGCAAGTTGTTGGATTTCTGAATTTTGGGAGAAGTGGTGATGGTTACTCTCCATTGGTTAGCAAAGGTTCATTTCTTCGCCATAGTTTATGATTTTTGCGAAGGCTTAGGTTTTGATTGCATTACTGGAAGAGCAATCGTTGGTATGAGGAAACATCGCAACCCTATTAGGATTTCAAGAAAAATTTGTTTGGATCGGCCAATGTGACAGAGGAAGTAGTGAGGAATGATTTCGAGAACGAAATCTAACTTAAGTTGGGGAGAGTTGTAACACCCTGTTTTGAGTCGTTTCTTAATTTGGGGTTGTGACCCGAAGATCAATTATCATAAGGCTTCAGGATTTGAGGATAGAGAGGTTTAGACCCATTTGGATATGGGTAATGTAGATATGTGATCCAAGAGTTCGATTTGTGCTTTGGGTCCCAAGGGTATAATGGTAAAAGTGTTGGTTCGGACCTTTCATGAATTTAGGATTTAAGTTCTGAAGGTTATGAGGCAAATGAGAGTTGATAAGAGTGTAGGGATTCTCATTACCTTTCTGAGCATATATAGAACGTCGAAAATGGAGTCGGGACGAAGAAGTTATGGCTTTTAGAAGATAGGATGGATATGGGTATAGTCTAGTACGCGAGGTGTACAGGGTGTACACTGGGCATACTAGGCTCATGTAATCGCGGATGACCAGCCTGGTATGTTGGGCGTACCAGGAGTACGTTGGGCGTACGAACGCCAGACTCAAACCCTAAGTTTTAGGGTTTAGGACCTATTTAAACATATTAACTCCTGAATACCCTCCCCTTATTCAGCCTCCATCCTCCTCAACCTGTGATTTAAAAACCCTAGCCCCTTTGAGAGTTTTCTTGACCTTTTTGGGTGTTTTGGTGCACTTTGGAGAAAGGAGAACTCGTTAGAGAAGAGGTGGATTGCTAAGAGCTCGTAGATCCTAGCTTGGTTTTCCTTATTGCATCTTCTAAAGATAAAAAGTCTCAAACTTGATGGTTCATTTGTTAGAACTTGCTTGTGAGTGGGTTTTTGTGCTTTTTGTCCCATAAGTTGATTCTTGAGAGTAAATGCTACTCCAAAAAGTTTTAGGTTGTTTATTTTGATGTTTTAAGGTCCCTTGTTCATAAAGTTTTCATCTTGATGGTTGTGGACCAACCATGCATGAGTTGTTGACCTCTTGGTGAAGCTAGTAGACTAGATTTGGGTTTTTGGGTTTCTTGGAGCCATGCAAAGGCATCAAGTTGATGACTTTATTGATTAAGACACCCATTAGAATTAGATCTGAGCCTTGGATGTAAAGTCTTAAAGTGTTAAGCACTTTTAAGTGAGTCCTTGGTCATTTTGTTATGTTAGGAAGCTTAAGTCCGGTGTTGGGCTCTATTAAGTCATGATAGGTCATAAAGTCGGGAACTTTATGACTCTAGACGTCCATTAGGCTTGAACTTGAGAATTTAGACATTTGGTTTTAAAGGATAAGATCTAAAAATGGAGTTTTTGGGTTTCAGCACCGTACGCGGTGCGTACTGGGGTAGTACGCGGGGCGTACGCACCAATGTGCCATGATGGGCCATTTTTGGGCCTTGGGTCTTTTGGGATTTGGGCCATGAGTTGTTGGGTCAGATGCGGGAAAGGTAAAATAGTCTTTTACCCATTGATATGATAGAGTATGAATTGGACCTTGGACTGTGGGAAATTGCCTTAATTATTGATTAGGGATAATTTGGATGTGTTCAGTGTGAGGAGCCCGATAGCAGCACCGCGTCTGATTCGGTTATCTTTAGACTGAGGTGAGTCTTTTCACTGTACCCATGGGTCGAAGGCACTAATGCCGACCCACTAGGATATGTTATGTAGGATGCTAGATGTCTTTATGACTCTTGCATTATATGATGGGCTGGGCCCAAGGGCATGCATGTAGGGTTAGGCCTAATTGCATGAGAGGGCTAGGCCCATTATATGTCGGGATAGGCCCATTACATGCCGGGCTAGGCCCATTTATATGCTGGTTGGGCGCCTGGGCCCATTGATTATAAAGAGATAGGCCCATTAGTATGGGTTGGGCCCAATGTGCGGGCTAGGCCAAATGATATGTATGGTTTGTGGTATTTTGGGGAACTCACTAAGTTTTGTGTTTACGGTTTCATATTTATGGTTTCAGGTACTTTCGGTTCGAAAGGGAAGGACCCGATGTGACTGCACAGTATCCTCCCAGAGTTTATTCCGCATTTGATTAATCAAGATTTTTACATTGATGTTTAAATACTATTTTTCACATCGAATGATTTCGGGAATGGAATGTTATATGAATTAGTGTTATTAAAATGAAAATTTTACTATGAATTTTTGGGACGTTATAGAATGACCACTAGAACAACTCGATCTGTCGTCGAATGTCCTTCAGGTGGATCTGTTGTCGAATGACCACCAGAACAGCTCCCCACTAACTCTGACGATGACTAGATATGGAAATAATGGACGTTCCGGTGACGAACTGATCTGGAAGTATCCGACGAGGGTTTTTAAGTTGAAGACGTTCCGACGAAGAGGTCTATGTTGTCTTTCAGATCTTCACAGAGCTAGGCATCAGATATGGAATTCGGCGACGTGGTGGTGGTTTCTAGCGACAACGTTGGCGGTTTCCGACAGTGGGGGTATTTTTCGGCGAAGTATTAGAGAGAGAGAGAGAGAGTCTAGAGAGATGTAGATGGGGTAGGGTTTGGGTTGGTTACTAGGGGGTATGTTTATATTTTGATCAAATAATAGTAAAGGAAATAAAAAGAAAATGAAAACAAATAGAAAAGGAAAAATGTCATTTTAAAGAATTTTAAAAAATTTTGGACCAATGGGCAAGTCTAAAACTTTTTGGACCAAAGTCACAACTATCAACATACCATAGTGATTAATTTAGCAGTTTTGTCAAACATAAAAACAAATTTGTAATATAAAGTTCGAGAAATTTTATAATTTCGAGAAAATATGGACTAGATTCATAAAAATAATTGAACATTCAACTAAAGTTGTAAAAATAAAAGACCAAATTCACCAAAACTGATTAAATATTGGTTTAAAACAGTAAAAAGAAAAGAAAAAGTTACGCTAAAATTGTAAAACATTGAAGTCGGATGGGTCATATAGTTTAGATGTTGTTTGTTTTTTCGAAGCGAAAACGTATGAGGTCTGCGGACCACATCTACAACCATCTGCAGCAGAAAAAGTTGACTAAACGTCTGCAACCTGTAATAAGAAGTTTGTTTGTTTTTTATCAATGTGTGCAAACTGCTGCAATAAACTGAAATTAAACATACAATAGTTAAAAATAATTTTAAAAAAAAAATTATATAGTTTAATCATATGCAAATCAAATATAAAGATCATTGTGATGATATGATTTTTAAAAACGTTTATATAAAATAATTAAACATAATATTGGCTAAATAACAATAAATAAATTTATTAATTTAGCGAACATGTTAATTTTGTTAAATTTTCGAAGATGGTGATTATTTTTCCGGTTAGCTTCAATAAATTTGGTAATTTTGGTGATTAAATTTATAATTTATTAATATTTAGTTATAGACAATGTAACACAAAAAAATATTTATATAAAATTTACCAAACGGTTTGGAAATTATGTAAAATATACTCAAATTATTTATAATATCATTCATAGTATTATTAAAATAATAAAAATGATATTGAAAAAAAATTAAAGCAAATCTATGTTGAAGAATCTATAACTTAAAGTATGGTCACCAACAAACCATTAGAAAAATGTTGACAACTCAGTGTCATGTCAGTTCCACTACATGTCCACTACCAAAACATTAACCATTGAAATGGTTACCACTCCACAATATTTATCTTTATTTTTTTACTTTTTCTTTTTTCTTAAAATTAAATAAAAAACATAATTTAAAACATAAATAAATATTTTACATTAATTAAACACACACAAATTTAAATCCTAAAATACTTAACAAAACATAAAAAATAAAAACCTAAATTACTAAAAAAACATAAAACATCCCAATAAAACCAAAATATTAAAATATTAGAACCTAATTTTCATATTTTTCACGGACTTGTTGTTGCATTTTTAGAAACGTTGCTAGATTTTCCGGGTCAAGATCTGGTTGGGGTTTTGTGTTTATGATTTGAAGATCAGTAATTGCTATTTTCCGGCGACGAGCTTCCTCCGTTGCTTCATATTTTTTTCTTGAAAACTTAAAGTTTTGTCTATTTTTTTCGCAGGTACGTCTTCGCTACTCGCTTTTCCGCTTAAAGACGCCGCCTTTTTCGCTTTGTCCCTTCCTGGTGGTCGACGAAGTTGGACTTCCGGTGGACCTCCCCATCGGTGTCGTCGAAGTCATCATTGAGCTCGAGACCAAAACCCACGTCTGACTCGAAAGTTATTGGCTTTTGTTGGAGCCGGTGGTAGATTCCGAACGTGTCGTCTCCGGATAAAGGACCCGTTTTACATCTTTACGACAAACTTCCCATGCTTTTTAGTTGCATAATGGTTTACAATTATTGGTAATTTTATATTGGTAGCATGCTGTCGATATAGTGTTAAAATTGTTGCTACCACTTTTGTGCATATTTTTAAGATTGTCAAACATGCCATTAAATTTGGTGTAAGCCGCTCGTAGGTCACACAATTTTGCATTGACCGCGTCGTACGTCCGACATGTTTCCTTTCATAATAGCGTGTGAAAGTGGTCTAAAATACGATTCCAAAAACTTTGACCCGATTGCACGTTGCCGACTTGCCTGTCTTGCGATATGAAAATCCAAGCTTTCGCTAAAGTTTCCTCATCGTCTTCGTTCAATTGCGTAGTTTTTTTTGGAGCTTTTCCTTTTTGTTGCCTTCTTCGAGATGGTTGTTGTGTTTCTTGAACCCGTTCGTCGTCGTTATCGAGGTTTATAGGTTGGGATTGAGATAATGAGACTTGAGATGATTGTGAAGGTTGTGCTTGAAATTGTTGAGGTTGAGAAGATTGCGGTTGAAATTGTTGAGATTGTTGTTGTTGAAAGGCTTGAAATTATGGTTGATTGAATTGTTGTGCTCGTTGTTGTTGATAGTAGTTTAGATGGTATGAAAGATTGGTGAATGGAGTTTGTTGGTGGATTGGAGATGTTACAAATTGCATGTAACTAAGATTTGCATATGGATCATTTGTAGTGTTTGGGGTGTTTGGAGTGGGTGGAGCATTTTGATTTGGATCCATAGGTTAAGAAAAAGTGAGAAAATAGAAAGAAATTGTGTGTTTTGTAGTGTGAAATGTATAGAAAATAGATGGCATTTATAGTTGTAGTTTGTGTTTTTTAAAAGTGAAAATTATATATTATATATATATATATATATATATATATATATATATATATATATAATTTCCTATTCGTTGTGACCGTTGATGTTGTTGCTTTCCTATTCGTTGTCTTCCTCTGTTTTCTTAGTCCACACCCAAGCCATCGGTCGATAGGGTAGTGTTTACATGTCCTTTGGGCTGGTACATCGGAAATCACGCGTCTCTTGCACCACCATACCGGATAGCCTAAGTGGTTTGAAGAGGAGGGTCCAATGTTGCACCATACATCACAAACTCACCATTTGTTCAAGTTAGAAGTTTTCTAAAAAACAAACAATTGCAAAAGATCAAGTGACGCAATACAAGTTCAACGATTTTTAAGTCAGAAGTCTTATGAAAAAACAAACAACTGTCAAATACCAAATGTTGCACGTGTATTGCATGTCACTGCCGTAGAATTAATACCCTCCTCTATAGGAAAACATCGTGAAACTGTAATTTTTTCTTGTTGTACTTGTCCCATATAAAATAATTTATTTTATGAATTTATAGTTTAAATAGATTTGTTTCTTTTTTTTAAATAACTTTTTAACAACTTATGTATATGGACATGAACAAACATATCGAAAAAAAGATTCCTTTTTAACAAACAAAAGAAATAAAACATCTATATATCACCTTTAATATTCGATGAGATCATAAAAAAAGTTACACTAGTTAATGAACTAATTTATAAATTAACATTTGATAAATTAATAAATTAACTTATAAATCCATTAAAAATAAAGAATTAAATATTTAAAAAATCAGTACACTTATAATATTTTTTTAATCTTTAAATATCTCAGCCGACTTCCATGTTCTTCATAGGGACGTAGTCAAAATAACCGCGCAAAAGACACAAAAAAACATATCCCCTGCATTACATCCCCATCCTACCTGCTCCTACACCACCACATCAACACTTACGTGGCGCGCATTCGGCAACAAAACCGGGTAGATAACCTGACGAATACGTCGTCGTATCATCATCTCCACGTCCAGCTTGTCAGCTCAACCGGTTTTCCTTTCCATCTCCGGTGACCCCACTAAGCACACGATCTTCCAGTAATTTCTCCCACCCTCCATTAAATCAAACCCTTTGATCTTCAGCTTCCCCATCATCAGTTTCTACAGCAATCGTGCTTCGTGATCTCTGATTTCGTATCACAGTCTTACTGATCATCTTCGCCGGAGCAATACGATGATGTCTGGTGATGATTTAGAAGGCAGGGTAAGATCGAAGAACAGTACCAGAACTACAGAAAATTATCATTCATCGTATGCAGAAAGCTATTGGACTTCATGGTTGATCCCTGTTTTCGTGGTTGTTAATATCGCTGTTTTCGTTGTTCTCATGTACGTCAATGATTGCCCTAAACACAATCGTTCGCGTATCTATGGCAAGTGTGTTGCGAGGTTTCTTGGTCGATTCTCGTTTCAGCCCCTTAGAGAAAACCCTACCTTTGGTGCTTCAGCGAACTCGTAATTCATCACTTATCCCTTTTCTTTCACTTTAGTGATTTAATTTCCATTGAAATTGATGATCGATATGCCGATTCTCAGCGTATTCATGATATAAATCCCTGTTTAATTAGGGGATTCAATTGATTTTTGGTGTCAAATCTGTACTTCCGATTTCAAAATTGGTTTAAACCCTAATTCACTGCAACTTTTTGTTTCTCATGTAAAGCCTCGAGAAACTGGGAGCTCTTCAATGGCGGAAAATCGTGCACGGAAATCAAGGATGGAGACTTGTCACCGCTAACTGGTTACACGCCGGATTGATTCATCTAGTCGCTAATATGTTAAGCCTCGTCCTCATCGGCATTCGCCTTGAACAACAATTTGGATTTCGTAAGTACAATCATACCTTCAATTCCTCATTTTCTTCCAATTTCAAGTTCCTTTTACATGAACACAACACTTCCTGAAAAACTTTGCAGTTCGCGTGGGATTGATCTATCTGTTATCAGGATTCGGGGGTAGCATTCTTTCTTCATTATTCGTCCTTTGCACATCATGGTCTCAGTTGGTGCCTCCGGTGCTCTCTCGGTTTACTCGGGACAATGCTCTCCGAACTCATCACAAACTGGACAATCTACTCCAACAAGGTGAGCAAAATTCCATTTTTGTCCCTACAACTGTTCTTGATCGCTTTTGATAGCGAAAAATTTCATCTTTTTTACAGGCGGCAGCATTGATAACACTTATCATCATCATTGTTGTCAACTTAGCTGTTGGAATTTTGCCATTTGTTGACAATTTTGCCCATATCGGTGGATTCTTGACTGGTTTTCTTCTAGGGTTTGTTTTGCTACCTCGACCTCAATTTGGGTGGTTAGAAAGACACAATCTTCCAGCTGATGTTCGTGTTAGATCCAAATACAAGGTTTATCAGTATGTGTTTGGTTTGATTGCGTTAGTTCTTCTTGTTGCAGGGTAAAGTTGTAATTTTGAAATTAATTGTTATTTCTTTTTTATTAAAGTAATAATGTGAGTTTAATATTTAAGTTGTTGTATTAATGCAGATTTACGATGGGATTGGTGATGTTGTTTCATGGAGAAAATGGATACAAGCATTGCCATTGGTGTCGCTATTTGAATTGTGTGCCTACTTCAAAATGGGAGTGTAATAGTAGTTAGTAAGTGTGGTATAATAGTGTGTGAATAGTTGCATAGTTTTTTTTTTCTTTGAATTTGATTGGTTTTTGTGTTGCATTTTGTTTATGATGTTTGTATTTTTGTTGATGGAACTCTATATTTATTCATTCTTAGGGCATTTATAATCTATTGAACTTAATTTATAATCTATTGAACTTAATAGAATTGAACTTAATAGAATGGATTGTCATATTATTTTTTTACAATCCATACAACTCTATTATTTTTTCTTATAATATATTCAACTCTATAAAATTTAATTAAAGTAAATATTTAAGAATTAAAATTTTTAATTTTTTTCATTAAGGAGTTCAATGATCATTGAATTTTAATTCCATTGAACGTCTAAGTAAAATTTTACAATGATAGAGTTTCATATGTTGAATGACATATAGACTTGTTATCGTATTCAACTCTCATATTAAACTCTTCATTATGAATGTTTTTGTTGGTATTGGACAATTCACAAATGGATGATTGTGTGATTGTTTTTGGTGATATTAGTATGTTACATTTGTAACTTGTAAACGAATAATTTTTAGTATTTTGATCTCGGTATAAATATTGTGTGGAATCGTTTGATAAAAATAACTATAAGATTATGAAAGGTGTAAATTTATATAAAGCAAAAAATTGTAGATTTCCTTGTAAGGGCAGAACATCTATAATCCTCATATTTCATTGTCATTTGTAACTGTAAGATTATTGAAGGTGTAAATTTATATAAAACAAAAAAGGTAGATTTCCTAGTAAGGGAAGAACATCTATAATCCTCATATTTCATTGTTATTTGTTCCAACTAAAGAACACAATTAATTATTTTTATTTATCTTTTTTTTCTTCCTATTATTTTGTTAAAAGACTCCGAGAACAAATGTTTAAGCTCCTATTTCCAAACAAAGTTTTATTTAATGGTTAATGTCATTCTAACCCAATCATCTATAGGTTGATGTTTTAAAAGGTCCCTCATTTTTTTTTTCTTGAGGTTGGCTAAAAAGACATTATATTTTTCTATATAGACACCCAATTTGGTTTTTAAGATATTTTTATTGGTTGGATTTGCATTGTTTTCCAAAAAAATAAGTTATAAATTGTTAATTATAGGTTGACTTTTAATAAGGGTGTCTAAGAGGTGTCAACGTAACAACACCATTCTGATAGTCTAAGTCATTAAACTTGTTGGTAACTTGTTAATACAATTTTACATGATTTTTCAGGTTAACCAGCTTACTTGGCATCCTACAAGGCTCATTACTCTTAACTTAGTGTCATGTTGCGTCCACATAGATTATTATTTATTTTTAAAATTTTATTTTTAGAAACTAAATTATATATACACACACGCATATTTTAATAGGTATTTTTTATTCACTAAATTACACAAACCACCTTTTATCAGATAATTCATACCGACACTTAGGGCGTGTTCGGCACTGAGCGTTTGAGAGCTTCTACCTTCTAGCGTTTGATAAAACGCTCCGTTTTAAACAGAAAGTCTCGTTTGACACTACAAGCTTTTAGCGTTTAGTTTAATCAAAACGCTCCAAATTCAAATGCTACTTCATGTAGCGTTTAACAAACGCTACAAGCTACAAGGTACCCGCTACAAACTAGTTTTGTCGAACACACCCTTAATCTCTCTTTCTTCTCTTGTTTTCGACAAAATCAGAACCTGTAACGACCCAAAAATCAAGGGTAAAAATTTCATTTTTCAATACAGTCAAAACGTATGTATCTTCAAATCCAAACATTCCAAAAACATGATTAATTAAAAACATTCATCAGAGTTCGTCTCAAAATCATATATTACGGAAACACGGGTGTGTGCGCTGCGATCAAGCTGAGCCATTCTTTTCCAAAACAATGATACATGAAACCATAAACAAAACTGTAAGCACGAAGCTTAGTGAGTTCCCCAGAGCATACCCCATATAATCCACATAATCCACATAACCGCATAAACCATATCAATCACATAGGCCATAACAATCATATAAGGGAGCCATGGAAACTGTGACAACCCGAAATCTCTATCTGTAAGTCAATGCAATCAATAGGAAGTCAGACTTGCTTTTTCTTCGGTCTTAATGTGTTTAGGATCAGTTTGAGAGTCTCTAAGCCTAGTATACTTACGGATTGAAGGTTGAGAAGTGTCAGTTCGGGATTAGAGGAATGCATTCGAGCCGGAAACATCATCTATGGATGTTCACAGCCGCAAAATAGGTTCGCGGCCGTGAACCCATGTTTGGGCCGTGAACCCCTCTCCACATATATATATATATATATATATATATATATATATAATATATGTTTTTCCTTCATTTACCCCTCATTTCTTCTCTCCTTGGCCGAAAACTCCTGAAGATTCTCTCAAGACTCATCGAACAGAAGCTCTCTTTTCACCCCAAAAACGTAAGTGATTCATCCCTATTCACTTGTTAATCATCTTATTCATGTAAAGAGCTTTGTATTCATCCATTGATTCATCACTTTCATCACCATCTTTATGAACTTGAAGAGTTCACGGTCGTGAACCCTTCATAGGGTCGTGAACCCTTCATAGATGGGCCGTAAACCCATCATATGTTCATGTGTTCTTGGGCCGTGAACACATCTTGGGCCGTGAACCATTCATGTGTTCATGGGTCGTGAACACATCTTGGGCCGTAAACCCATAGTGGTTTGGCCGTGAACTCCTTTTTCATCACTTATTCTTTGTTCTAACACTTCATTGTAAGTGTTTCCTACATTCTAAGGGTGTTTCCTATGATCATTAGTGGTTTTAGACAACTAATTCTAGGCCTATACATGTTCATATATGCTTAATAGGGCCATATTGTGTTCGGGACTTCACTTAGCATACCAAGCATCCTACTTTTGTCATACATCCAAGTCATTCACAATCAGGTGAGTTCATACCCCTATATTTTCCGAGCTTTTTAATGTTTTAAGGGGGGAATACAAGTAAAAGCACAAGTAATCTTGTGTTTAAAAATATAATTTGGTTTATTATATTAGCACACATTGAAGGTAGAACGTACTAAACATGATCAACATTGTTACTACTAGACTTGATATCAGTTTTACAAAACATGTTAAGATACAGACGTTGCAAACACAGTTTTCAAACAAGGAAACAAACTTATGAATTATGAAATAAGAGGTACTATTTTATAAGGATTCATATTAATAACAAAAAGGGTTTTCATAGTATTATTCGTGGATTCGTTGAGAGAACTACAGTGTGAGACACATCTTCTGGGAAGTCTACCCCTTGTAACCAGAGTCTCCTGGAGGGAGAGCGTGAGTTTTGTGTATAGATCTATACGTGAGTGAAAATCCCGCACCCTGACTATTAGCTACAGTCAACCTAGGGTGACAAACGTCATTCAGTTCGCGACGTCCGAAGTACGTCGTAATGTTTATTGTCAATAGTATGGTTATAAGAACTCACAGGGGAAACAACGACTCGTTCACGTAATAATATACCTAACAAACAGTCAACATGCTTAGTAACTATGTGATGACTTAGTATGTACACTAGGGTAATATGAAATTAACATCCGACTTGCAGTGGGATGTGTGATCTCCGCCTCATTTCCTGCTCCTTGTTTGGTTGTGGTTTTAGGGCAGAATCACCCAATCGAATGTCTGTTCGATCTAGATTTCTATAACTTGTATGTAATAAGTGATCACAGGAGAGTATTAACAACACTTTCAGTTTACAGTTAATACTATACATACTGGTGGTAGCCAGGGTTTTCATACAAAGGTTTTCGTACATAACATACTATACATTACTGGTGGTAGCCAGGGTTTTCAAACAGAACAATGCTTAAACAACATAAGTATGGTAGATACTTGTACTCTTCGGTTTGGAACAGATGATTCAATAACTTACACTTAAGGGAAAATATATGATTTTCCAGGATAAACATCAATGTTTTACAAATAACTGGGT